TGGCGAAGATGTGGAGGAAGAGGAACCCTTGTGCACCATTGGTGGGGATGCAAACTGGTGCAGCCACTCTGGAAGACAGTATGGACATTGCTCAAAAAGTTAAAAATAGAATTACCTTATGATCCAGCAATCCCACTACTGGGTATTTCCCCAAAGAATACAAAAACACTAATTCAAAGAGATCTGTGCTCCCCTATGTTTACAGCAGCATTATTTACAATAGCTAATAATGGAAGCAGCCCAAGTGTCCATCAACTGATAAATGGATAAAGAAGATTTGGTATATCTATATAGAGTTACATTGGAATATCATTCAGCCATAAAAAAGAATGAAATCTTGCCCTTTGCAACAACATGGATGGAGGTAGACAGTATAATGCTAAGCGAAATAAAACAGAAAAGACAAATACCATATGATTTTACTCATGTTTATTTAAACAACAAAGGAGCAAAAGGGGGAAAAAAGACAAACCAAGAAACAGACTCTTACCTATAGAAAACAAACTGATGGTTACCAGAGGGGAAGGAGGTGGGTGATGACTAAATAGGTGATGGGGATTAAGGAATGCACTTGTAATGAACACTAGCCCATTATGGAATTGTTGAATCACTATACTGTACACCTGAAACTAATGTAACACTGTATGTTAACTAATTGGAATTTAAAGTAAAAAAAAAGTTTTAAAAAATTCAATGGAATGTAGATCTAGGTGGGATTCAAGAATTTTTGGAATTAGGGAGTTTTAGAGCAAGTGAGCTAAAAAGATGGAGATGATGTCCAAAGAGTTATATAGTTGAAATGGAGTTGATGGAGGCATTAGAGTTACTGATATTGTTCAGATATAGGTATTAATCTGGGAGTGAGTCACTAAGGTAAGACAGATGACAAAAACACTGGAAGATAGGAGGTCACATAACTGAGTGTAAAGGCTGTTGGAAAGATCATGTATATTAAAATGACAGAAGTAGTATTGAAAAGACTAACAGTGAACCAGAAGCTAAAATCCTTAAGGAATATGTGAGATGACTCATAGAGCATTAATAGATGCTGGTATCTGATGTCTTGAGAATCAAAGCTAGGCAATTTTAAAAAGTAGAAATATTTTAGAATATCATTTGTAAGCAAAAATGAGTAGCAAGAGCTAGTCCCCCTGTGCCCCAAGGCCCACTGGCATGATGGATATGAAAAGAAAACAGCCACCATCCGGGAAGGATACAGTGGAAGCAGAGTCTTTTTTTTTTTTTTTTAAGATTTTATTTATTTATTTGACAGAGAGACACAGCGAGAGAGGGAACACAAGCAAGGGGAGTGTGAGAGGGAAAAGCAGGCTTCCCGCTGAGCAGGGAGCCCGATGTGGGGCTCGATCCCAGGACCCTGGGATCACGACCCTAGCTGAAGGCAGCCGCTTAACGACTGAGCCACCCAGGAGCCCCAGGAAGCAGAGTCTTTAGGGAATAATATGAGCCAGGTTTCAGTTAGAACAAGAGAGAAACAGAGAAATTGTTGAGGGCATGGGGAATTACATTGATAACAGTGTGAGTACCAGAGAGCACAGGGTTTCTAGAGTTAGGCAAGGGAGGAAAACGGAGTAAAGGGGGTCATACAGAGCCACGTGAGTTAAAGTCTGAGGGATTAAGGGTGACCTAGGAGTCCTTGGCTATTTGTGGAGACTGCCAAAAATAGGAATAGGAAATACCAGTCTTACCAGTGTTGGGATGTAAAGGGGTGGAGGTTGCTCATTAGGATGTTACTTCCAATAACTGACAGATGGTAAGCTTGCATGGGCTGCTAGCTCCTTCTAGAAAAATCGATTCTCAAGACATCACTGAACTGTAAAACAAGATCTGAGGTATAACAGCAAAAACAAAAAGCTGAGATTGACTGGTGTGTTTATGTGGGAGAAAAGGAAGTGGAAAGATTGGCAACATGGGGTAGAGACCTTTGTTTAGTGAAGTATGGGAACAGATTGGGAAAGCTTTAAAATTCTCAACCTCATTGAAAATTTGGGAAAGGCAAGTTGAAACACTACAAGTTTTTGAAATGATGAGAATTGAAGTAATATTTTGTTGTTTAGTGGGTGCTTTTTGGTACAGTCATGCAGAAAAAAATGTATAGAATTGTAGAGAATACAGTTGGAAACATATATACAAAATTATCCTACTTCTCCACTATGCAAGAGAACACTTCTCCACATATGAGCCAGAAGACATCAACAGGGATATTGACTACAGCATTGTGGTAGAGAAGAAGTAGAAACATTTCTGACCTGAGTGTGGTAGATACCAAATACCTATGGGTAGTAAGATATTTAATAAGATACTAAAGGGGTGCCAGGGTGGCTCAGATGGTTAAGCGTCTGCCTTCGACTCAGGTTATGATCCCTGGCAGGGTCCTGGGATCAAGCCCCACATCATTCTCCCTGTTCAGCAGGGAGTCTGCTTCTCCCTTTCCTTCTGCCTCTTCCCCTGCTTGTGCATGCTCTCTCTCAAATGAATAAATAAAATCTTAAAAAAAAATAAGATACTAAAGAAAAATAAGATACTAAATAAGATACTAAGGGAAAAAAATGTTAGCTGAGACTCTAAGTCTTCAGAATTTAAGAGAAAGAGATACCAGATCTTAAAAGTTGTAAAATAGAGTACCTGATAGGAAGTTGCCAAAAACGAGCTACGAAACTCCCATATACCATGTTCAGTACATTCAAAGCATCAGATTGTGGAGACCAAAGAATTTGGGGAAAGCTCTTTGTGTGCTGAGTCTTACATCTTCCAAGATAGAAGAGAATGTCTGCCCATCTCTTATGCTTATTGGGAGGGGACACTAAGGTTACTACGAGCTGGGAACAAAGTGGGGTGCTGTCTGACTTCCTGGAGAAATCTAAATATCATGAGAAGGGTTGAACTAGTGCTGCTTTACTATCAGCTAACAATCTCAAAGTGTATCCAGAACAAGAATGCATGAGTGTTTCCCAAGGACTAGATGTGGCCCTAGGTCTAGTAAAAGAAAGCCACTTAGAGGGGCTCCTGGGTGGCTCAGTCAGTTAATGGTCTGCCTTCAGCTCATGTCATGATCTCAGGGTCCTGAGATTGAGCCCTGTGTTGGGCTCCCTGCTCAATGGGGAGTTTCCTTCTCCCTCTTCCCTCTGCCCCTCCCCCTGCTTGTGTGTGCGCACTCTCGCTCTCAAATAAATAAATCTTAAATAAGTGAAGTTTATCTGTATATTTCAGCCTAAATAGGTCTCAAAATGAATAAGGAAATTTATGGAAAGGTAATATTATTTGAGGAAATTATAAACTATGCAAAATAACATGTTGATAGGTAACATACCTTATCTCTCATTTTTTGAACATGCATTACCCAAATATTCACCATGTTTACAAATTTTTACCCCAAATTCACCATCTGAATAAAAACCTTTCAGTAATTAATCTCAATTCTCATATTATGTAAAAATTTTAAATTGAAGTAAGTGTGGGTGAGAGGATGTAGAGTCTATTGTGGTCACATCTCAGCTAACCTCCCCATTTGTTTGAGACTTCTGCTTCTACTGTTTAAACATGTTGTACATTATCACTATCATTTCTCCAAGCATGTACCCTTCATGGATTCCAGTTCACTTCTGCTATGTGCCCAGGAGCACTACCAATCTTTAATTTAGAGTGTATTTTTAACATTATTTCTTTATTTGTTTTTTTAAGATTTTATTTATTTTACAGAGAAAGAGAAAGTGAGAGAGGGAACACAAGCAGGGAGAGTGGAAGACGGAGAAGCAGGCTTCCTGACGCGGGGCTCGATCCCAGGGACGCTTAACGACTGAGCCACCCAGGCGCCCCTCTTTGTTGGGTTTTACTAGAGAACATGCCCCTTGCATTATAAAAGAAAAACATTATTTTCTTTTGTTAAAGAATTATATAATGTTTATTAAATGCTTTATGTTAATGAGTTCTTAGTGGATTATTTTCTAGGTGATAGAGTATCTTAGTTGCATTAAGAAAAGTGGAGTTTGGGGGCATCTGGTGGCTCAGTTGGTTAAGTGACTGCCTTCAGCTCAGGTCATGATCCCGGAGTCCTGGTTTGGGGGCGCCTGAGTGGCTCAGTTGGTTAAGCAACTGCCTTCGGCTCAGGTCATGATCCCGGAGTCCTGGGATCGAGTCCCACACCAGGCTCCTGGCTCAGCAGGGAGCCGGCTTCTCCCTTTGACCCTCTCCCCTCTCATGCTGTTTCTCTCTCTCTCTCAAATAAATAAATCTTAAAAAAAAAAAAGAAAAGAAAAGGGGAGTTTGGGAATGAGATACACAGTACTAAGAAATGAAATACAGGGTCCTGCCATTTAAAAATTAGCCATCCAACACATTTAGAGAATAAATTAGATCTGAAAAAATGACAGATACCTGTATATGGCCTGGAATTATACACACTAAATCTACAATAGGGATAGGATTGAGAAACAATGGATCTTTGACATTTATCATTAATTTTCATATATTTACTATAAAAATATGAAGTCATGTTAATATGTATTTATTCTACATAATACCTGAGTGCCTTGTCAAATTTTTTGAACTATTCAAAAGAGTTTATCCATCCCACTCACTGCATACTAATTAGAAAGTTAAAAATTATGTTTATAATGGAAAGGTCTAGTAGTCACTACCTCAATCAGTGAACAAATTTAGCAATAACAATAGTAATATCCAGCAATACTGGGACAACTTATTTTACTTATATAATGACACATTTAATGCTTTATGTTATGCATAGTATATCTTTTGCTAAAATAAGTACGTATCATTTTATTTTTACCAAAACTGCTTCTGTATTTATTCATGAGGAAACAGACAAATCCTAAAAGTTTGACATTCTACCAAGCCTAGATTCTAAAAATGGTAGTATCAAAAAAATTACTAAAAAAGTGGTGGTGGTGACTGTTCTCAGTTAAGAGATTATAAGATGAGAGCCTTGATCAGATCCTTACTTAGAAAAACATTTTATAAGCCAGTTTTTTTTCAGGTTTTAAAACTTTTTATTGCATATTTAAAAAATTGTGCATTCCAATAATCAAAATCATTTGAACAAACTAATGGCACTCCGATTAAACTGCATTTTACAGCCTGCAGGACACCTTGGACCAGCATGATTTTTACTCTAGATTTCACAGTCGTCCCTCCCAGCTTCTTCCTTCACCAACATGCAAGTTCTTTTCCTTCCCTGCCAGCCAGACAGGCTGATGGGAGAGGCAGGCGCCTTTGTTGTCAGTAGTTCTTTGATGTGAAAAGGGGCAGCACAGTCATTTAAACTTGATCCAACCTCTGTGCGTCTTACAAAGTTAAACAGCTAAAAGAAGTAAAGAAGGCAATGCTTGTGGAATGTACAGTGCATATTGGCGGCACATGCCTCATTATGATTTGCCTGCTTGCTTCCGTTCAATCGTTTCTTTTGAAGGTAGTGGATTTTTCTCTTGCGTTTCTGTCTTCTTCAATTTCGACTTACCGAATTTCTCAATCTCAGCCATGTAGGGTTTGTCAGACATGGTTGCAGAGGAAGCAGAGCAAGGTGCATGAGCAAGTGAACTCCGGTCGGCACAGTGGCCGCTGCCGAATCTTTTTTTTTCCAAAGACTTTTTTATTTGTCAGAGAGAGAGAGCACACACAAGCAGGGGGAGCGGGAGAGGGAGAAGCAGGCTCCCCGCTGAGCAGGGAGCCCAATGCCGGACTCCATTCCAGGACCCTAGGATCATGACCTGAGCCAAAGGCAAACGCTTAACCGACTGAGCCACCCAGGTGTCCCTAAACCAGTTGTGAGACACTTTGGGAAATTAATGGAATTATTAATTTTCTAATGCCATGCTCTTAAAATTAAGACAATCTCCTTATTTTTAGGTTATGCACGAAGTATTTAGGAGTGAAATGTAACATTAATAAAGATAAAATGTGGCAGGATGTTAACTAAGTCAGTTGAGGATGTGATGGACGTTTCACTATTATTTTAGTTTTCCTGTGGTTTTTAGAAATCTTCAGTATAAGAAGTTCCTGGGGAAATTTAGCTAAAAAAGACTTTAAAATACAAAAAATATTAAAAGATACTTAGGAAAATGTGAATAATCTTGGGGTGTAGGAAACATTCTATGTAGATTACATTTGATGCTATAAAAGTAAAAAACAAACTTTATATTAAAGTATAAGATAGACTAAGAAATTATATTTGTAACCCATATGATAAATAGCCATAAACACAAAAAACTTCTACAAATTAATGAAAAATACTAGAAATTGTGCACTATTGACAGGTAATTTACAGAAAATTCAGATGACCAGTAAGCAAATGAAAGCATGCTCAGTCTACCCTATATTTAAATAAATTCAGATTAAAGCAATGACATATTTTTCATTAGAAAGACTGACAAAGGGCGCCTGGGTGGCTCAGTCGGTTAAGCGTCTGCCTTCGGCTCAGGTCGTGATCCCAGGGTCCTGGGATCGAGTCCCGCATCGGGCTCCCTGCTCTGTGGGGAGCCTGCTTCTCCCTCTCCTCCCCACTTGTGCTCTCTATCTCACTGTCTCTCTCTCAAATAAATAAAATCTAAAAAAAAAAAAAAAAAAAAGACTGACAAAGAGCACCAAGTGCTATTAAATTAGTAGGAAAATGTGCAACTCAAACATTGTTGATGGGACTGAATGTGCTTTATCTGGAAAGTAATGTTACTATTACAATAAAAAAATAAATAAAGGGGTATCTGGGCGGCTCAGTCGGTTAAGTGTCTGACTCTTGATTTTGGCTCAGGTCATGATCTCAGGGTCTTGGGATTGAGCCCCACGTCAGGTTCCCTGCTCAGTGGGGAGTCTGCTTGAGGATTCTCTCTCCCTCTGCCCCTCCCCCTGCCCTCTCTCTCTAATGAATCTTTTTGAAAAATACACATATTCTTTGTTCCACAAACCTGATGTAAGAATCTTACAGAAATAAAAACATATACAAATATTTATGTTTAAAGATATTCATTGACAGTTGTTTGAAATAGCAAGGAAGTGAAAACAACATGAATGTTCATCACCAGAGAAACAATCTGAACATTAATACCTCTCCATATGTAGTATTCTGCAGCTACTAACACTAAAATGAGTAAGTTAGATTTATATGTACCTGGAAAGATGTCCGTGATGTATGTTACAGGAAAGTTGCAGATTGATGTCCATACAGTGATCCTGTTTAAATATATAAATATTCACAAACAACCAAGAAAAAAAAAGAACCATGTATAAACATGTACATTTAAACATAAAGCTACAGAAAAGTACTCATGACGCTTTTAACATGTTAGTTTAAGAAGTCAGATTTTATTTTTTTAAAGATTTCATTTATTTGACAGAGAGAGAGAGAACACAAGCAGGGAGAGCTGCAGAGGGAGAGGGAGAAGCAGACTCCCCAATGAGCAGGACCTGAGGGACACGGGGCTTGATCCCAGGACGCTGGGATCATGACCTGAGCCAAAAGCAGACACTTAACCAACTGAGCCACCCAGGTGCCCCAGGAAGCCAGATTTTCTTTTATGTATATTTGTTATAATTTCTTGTTTTGCAGGTAAATGCATTATATAATTTCAGAAGGGCAATTCAAATATGGAAAGAAAAACTACATGAAAAATACATTTAATTTCTAACTTCTTTTGAGAATAAGTAAAAAACTGTTAGAGAACAAAGTAATAGCATAATGGCCCATTTGACCATCTTTATTCCTCTATTTGTCATAAAATTCATCTTAGAAAAGAATCTCCAATTCTAGAACTTGATTTATGGATTAAATACATCAAAGTTAAAGCCATTTATTTCATTACCATGTCTTTAAAATTCCACAAACCTGTTTTCTCGGGGTTTTTTGTTAATATCTCATTAAATTGAACTAAGAACTGGGGTAGAGGGAAGAGTAAGAAGGGAGATTGTTACATGGAGGAATTTCCCTTTTTTAAGAGGACAAGGGTCCTATATGTAGAAAAAGAATGGGATTGGTTTACAGAGAAAGAAACTTGCCCTCTCATAAACTTAATTGGCCTCCAGCTATAATGTTTTAGGGTTTCTACCTCTGAGGTTATTTCTCGTAGCTAGAGCAGCATTTACAAAAATAGTTCATATGCAAAAGATATTAACAGGCATTATAAGAAGGGATTCATGGTCAAGTACGTTTGGCACATGATGGGTTAAAGTTTTAAAAAATTGCTTTACTGAAATATTATAGCCCTGATGAAATAAAATGAACTTACTGCTCCAAAAAGTGATGTGAAATATGCCATGATTTACAGTCTTTTTCAACCACAGAATCTTTTTTTCTAATATCATCTGAATCATAGTATTACTTGAAATGTACTACAGGAAATTTTAGGCTAACATATTATCTGTGGAATTCAATTAACACGGAGATATGGTCCTGAGTAAAAGAATTCAAAACAAATAATTTTAAGGTAGCACACGGTACATTACTGTTACATCATTATAAAAATATTTTTCAGATGGGACAATCATGCAATCTATTGGTGAAAGGTTTATTTATGATATAATAAATTACAAAACCTGAGCAAAACAGGCTGGTGGTACAGGTAACAACGAAGGGCTGTTGTGACTCCACAGCAACATTGCTAAATACACATGAATTATGATCCTCTAATATTTATTTAGTATGTAATGACTAACCTTTGAACTCTTAATTTGGCAAGTTGCACATAAACAGTACATTTAAGTTGTAGGTATCAATAGTTTAAAATTTGTTAAACAATAAGACATAACAATAAAAATATTAGGAGAATGTGTCTTCGCTAGACAACTTTAAGAAGAACTTCATGCCTTTTCAGAGTCAATGAATTTATAATTCAAGTAACAAAAAGGCAAATTAATAAATTAGATCATAACTGAAATCTTTGTAGAACTATTGGGACACTAGCATTGATAATTTGAACATCTAAAAAAAGCAAAAATCTTAATGTTATTTTAATTTCACCTTGGCTATTATCTCAACAGTAAGTCCTATTTGGGAATTCTCATATTGTAAGAAATAATTAAAAGCAAAATATCAAATAAAGGACCTCAAAATTTCATGATGAAAAAAAATCCTGAAATCATTTAACAAAGTCTATCATAAACATTTTTTAAATTGAGATTTTCTGAATGCCAGAAGTTGATTCTATGCTAGTGCATTGGTCTTAAGGCAAATATTAATTTTAAAACTTGGCTATTCAGCCAAAATGTCTATACAGTGTGTTTGCACATGAACTTTTGCAGGTAGTGTATTTTCAATGAACTTTTGCAGGTAATAATACTGTATGAATTTTTAACTTAAATTTTGTACATAAGGTCCTGTATATTAGGCCACTCTCAAAGAACCTTGAAAAACACATATTTCAAAACCATTCACTGAGAGAATTAAAATGACTTGAGGCTGCAAATAATTTTTCCATCATAATCATCTCTTCGAAATATAATTTCTAAACTCTTAAAATGTAATTAATTAATCTAGAACAGATTAAATCTTGGACATTCTTGGGGAGCGGTATTCCTTTGTATTCTTTTAATTGTCTGGTAGAGATTACTTATGTTTTATTTAGAATATTTATATCTATCATTATAAGGGAATCTGGTCTTGTTTAATTTTGACACTATGGCTATGCTACCAGCCTCAGAGAATGAGCTTCAAAAATTTTATTGGGGGAGGAAGCTGGAAAATTTTAAGTGTAAGACTACTTAGCCTAAATTTCTCAAAAACCACAAGCTACCAAATCTCAACTATGATGAAACAGATATCCCAAGTAGCCAAATGACTGAATAACCATTAAAGAAACTGAATTTATAATTGTAAAGCTCCCTAAAAATCTTCAGGCCCAAATGGTTTCACTTGCAAATTTTCATAAACATCTGAAAAATGAACACAAATTTTATACAACTTTTTTCAGAAAACAGAAAAACACTTCCCAATTCATTTTATGAGGCCAACATTATACAATACAAAGTGAGACAAAGACTAGAAGAAATAAGGAAAGGAGGGAGGAAAAGAAAGAAAATGACAATGATAGAACATCATAATTTTAGAAAAATCTTCAACAAAATGTTAGCATACCAATTCCAAAAAGAAATTAGAAAACATGACTACATGGAATTTATTACAGGTATACAAGGACTGGTTTTATATTCAAAAATCAATCCATGTAATCCACCATATAAATAGGTTGAAGAAAAAAAAATCATATAATCATATCATGTGTCCGGATAAAATCCAATATGCATTCATGATTTTAAAAAGCCTCTCAAGAGCAGAAGGGAACTTCTTCAATTTAAAAAAGAACATCTAGGGCGCCTGGGTGGCTCAGTTGGTTAAGCGACTGCCTTCAGCTCGGGTCATGATCCTGGAGTCCCAGGATCGGGTCCCGCATCGGGCTCCCTGCTCGGCGGGGAGTCTGCTTCTCCCTCTGACCCTCCTCCCTCTCATGCTCTCTCTCATTCTCTCTCTCTCTCAAATAAATAAATAAAATCTTAAAAAAAAAAAAAAGAAAACCCCAAGGAATTTACTAAAAAATGAAATAAAACCTTCCAGAATGAGTTGGTGAGTTTTGCAGCAAGGTCACAGATTACCAGATCAACATACAGATATACATTTACATAATTTGTATATACTAATG